CCTAAAAGACCACTTTCCAGTGACATAAGAGATTATAGAACTGAAGAATCATTTCAGTTGGAAAAGACCTTTGAGTCCAGCTGTTAACCCAGCATTGCCAAGTCCACCACTAAACTGTATTCCCAAGTGCCACATCTTTTAAATACCTCCAGGGATGGTGACTACATCAATTCCCTGTGCAGCCTGTTCCAACGTCTGAACATCCTTTCAGTGAAGAAATTTTCCTAATATCCAATCTAAACCTCTGCTGGTGTGACTTGAAGCTTTTGTCCGACTGCTTGTTACTTGAGATAAGAGACTGACCCCCATCTGCCTATGGCCTCCTTTCACGTAGTTGTAGAGAGCGATAAGGTCTCCTCTGAGCCTTGTTCTCTCCAGGCTAAACAATCCCAGCTCCCTCCGTCACTCCTCATGGGACTTGTGCTCCAGACCCTTCACCAGCTCTGTTGCCCTTCTCTGCACATGTTCCAGCACCTCAATGTCTTTCTTGTAGTGAGGGGCCCAAAACTGAACACAGGATTCGAGGTGTGGCCTCACCAGTGCAGAGTAGAGGGGGATGATCACTGCCCTGGTCCTGCTGGCCACACTCTTGCTGATACAAGCCAGGATGCCATTGGCCTTCTTGGCCACTGCTGGCTCATGTTCTGCCATGCCTGACGCCAAGGACTACCTGCAGCTGGCAGGTAGGTCAGGAGGGGCGTGTGTCCATCTTCCTGCAAGTCCTCCTAAATCATGTCCACACTTATGATCTCCTTTTTTCTAAAAGTTCACTTTCTGACAGGAATACAAGCCAGCCTGCAACACCGTCTTGCACACAGTAAGGAAAAAAAAAATAAATTTAACCCCCCAACCAAACCCCCGACGAACACCGATGTGAAACTGGCAGGTCAGCGCTCAGGTCAGATCTCTACGCAGGTCAGCGCTAATTCTGCACTCCGGACACTGCAGTTCCCCAAGGAAACCCACACCCCCCTCGCACACCCAGCCCTTCCCCCGCAGACCCGGGGCCGGTCCCTGCCCAGGCGTTGCCCGCAGCCCCCGGCCCCGACACGGCGGGGGCGGCGCGGGGGAGCACAGCTGAGGCGGTCCCGCCGCGAAGAAACCTTTGGAGCAGCTTTCCGGGTAACGCCCCTTCGGGGAACGGCCCGACAGAGTCAAGTGGAAAAAATAAAATTAATGAAACTAAAGAAACAACAAATAAAGGCTAACTCTGCGCGACCGCGCCGGGACCCCCCTCCAGCCCCCCGCAGGGCGCCTCACCCGCTCCGCCGCGCTCCGCTCGCCTCTCCCGGGCAAACGACCCGGCTACCGAGACCACGCCCCGCCGCCCGGGCGGGATCCCGCGGGCCGCCCGCTCCCCGCCGGCCCGGCCGGGTCCGCGCGGCCGCCCCGTCCCCCCGGGGGTTTCCCAGCCGTGCTCGGGGAGCGGGGGCTCCCGCGGGCCCCGTGGTGGGCGCGGACCCCGTTTCGAGGAAGAGCGATAACCCTTGTCACTCATCTCTCGGCCTGTCTTCCAGCTTAAGAAACGAGCGGAGTTCTCCATTTCCTCGGCAGCCTCTGCCGCTCCTCCATCAGTTAGGTATAGTCTGCGCTCAGGTGTCACACTACACTGCGTCACATTTTATAGCAGCATAGAATCATAGAATGATTTGAGTTGGAAAGGACCTTTAAAATCATCTAGTTCCAACCTCCCCGGGCCATGGGAAGGGACACTTTCCACTAGACTAGGTTGCTGAAAGCCCCATCCAGTCTGGCCTTGAACACTTTCAGGAATGGAAATGCCTGGAGCACTTCCAGGGATTCCAGTTGCCTTAATGGAGACCAACGTCATCAGCATCTGTCTGAAATCTAGCCATGAAATGCAAACACAGTGAATTCAAAATTTTTGATTGGTTTTGGTTTTTTCCTTCTCATTAAATGTTGATTTCCTCAATAATTCACTCATTAACAAGTTGACATGCATTCATCCAAAAAGAAATTCCCCTTTGCCAGGTACATTTCCTTATAACAGTCTTTCAGTTATCATTCCTCCCAGCTGTATGCAGAAAATTTGCATATACTGCTGTACTTTCTTTTCTGGTTACACATTAAAGAATAGTTTTCTTCCATATCACTAGGGACATTGCAGGAAAAACAGGGGAATTGTAATGGTCCAAACAAAGACTTAAATCTTTTACAGAGTTACAAGCAATTTGCTCCAATACAGAGCTAAGACAAACTTACATGGTCTTTTGTTATTGGGTTCTGTTTGGGTTTGTTGGGGTATTTTTCCGTAAAATATCACAAGATATTAAAATAGTTGAAGATCAAAAATCAAGACTTTTCATGAAACAGTGAAGAGATTTGTATTGCCTGGCAGGAATATCAGGTTGTTTCTCTCTCCATCTCAGTCAATTGGGTAAGGAACAAAATAGGCAAAAGCTGCTAAATATCTGTGTGCCAAGCGCTCATTTAGGTGCACTTACAGAAAGCCACGAACACATTTATCTGAGTAAAAGAAAATCTAGGCTTAAAGACCAGCTAAAATTAGCAAAAGTCAATAGTTGACTTCAGAGGCCCAAAGCTGTCAGTTGTGTAGCACTGTGTGCTGCTCCATCAAAAAATCCATTTGGAAAAAAAATTTTTCCTAAGTGCCACCTCTGTGCTTCTCTGCAGCATCAGCTACTTGGTGCTTTCCATTTGGACATGCAGTTTGTGGTTTAACATAACTGTGTCTCAGCAGCTGCAGCTAAGAGAGATGCTGTCAGGATATAGCTCACATGGCATCCACCTGCAAAGACTCCAAGGTACCTGGGATTTATTTCTGAGATATATCTTGTCTGCAGCTATCATATACTTCAGCTTCCCTTTCCTTTTTCTTGCCTTGGCCAGGCCAGTCTTGGTGCCACTGGATGGTTTAGCATTCCTCTTTCTGCCCTCTCTTAACCTGTTAAGATCTTAGGATTCAATGGGTGATTTCTTTGCGCAGACAGGCCTGAAAGGTAGTGTTTATCTGGCTGCTGACTCATCAGAGAAGAGAGATGAAATGCATAGTACAAACACAGCAGCTCAATCCCTGTATCAGTGAGTCATTCCCACTTCACAGCTCTCTGTTCTCTCCTCTGTGCATTTATTCAGCACTTCAGTGGAGAATGGCCTATGCCCCTCTGCCCCTCTGTGTGGGAATAAGCCCTGGGACAAAACAATCAATCAGAGATCACTTATTTGAAATCTCTTGGGATAATTTTCTAACTAAGACTGTCCATTGTGCCCTTTCTTCCTCCTTAAGCTCTCTCTGGACCTCTTCTCTAAGTCACTATGAAGAACTATCTACTACCTTTTTTCCATTTGCAGGCTTCTCAAGGAGAATGCTCTCTCTCCTCCTTGCAAGTCAGCGAGACGGGACAGCCTCTACCTGCCTCCCTCCTTGGCCTCAGATGCAGACACCACTGTGAGACTGAGTCAGGTAACACACAGACCTCCTGCACTCTGTGTTGGACTGGTCTGTGTATGCCATTCCTGTTAGCTGAAAATGAGCTAGGATAATCCTAGAGAGAGCAAGCAGGTCCGAGCCAGGATCAATGGCAGAAACGGAAATAGCAGCTAACTGGAAGGCAGTTTATTTTACAGCCTGTGAAGAATTGGAAACATGCTGTTACAAGGGTTCAGAAAGCTTCAGAAAGTGACAATTTCTCCAAAATATCTCACAGAATCATAGAATGTCGAGGGCTGGAAGGGACCTTAAAGATCATCTAGTCCCAAATCCTCCTGCCATGCTCAGAGATACCTCCCACTAGACCAGGTTACCCAAAGCCTTATCCAATGTGGCTTTGAACACTGCCAGGGCTGGGGCATCCACAACCTCCCTGGGCAGCCTGTTCCAGTGTCTCACCCCCCGCCCCTCACAGTAAAGAGTTTCTCCCTAATGTCTAAAGTACATTTTCCCTCTTTCAGTTTGTACCCATTACTCCTTATCCTTTCGCTACAGTTCCTGACAAACAGTCCCTCTCCGGCTTCCCCTTAGGCCCCCTTGAGATACTGGAAGGTTGCTATGAGGTCTCCATGCAACCTTCTCTTCTCCAGGCTAAACAGCCCCAACTTTGTCAGCCTGTCTTTGTAGGGAAGGTGCTCCAGTCCTCTTACCAACTGCATGGCCCTCCTCTGGACTTTCTCCAACAGAACAATGTAGGGAGCTAGAGGAGGCCTTGCATAGAGCATGCATTCAATGGGTTTCTGCAGAAATAATGCATTCTCTGCTTTGCCTCCGAGTAGGCAGCAGTTCCATGGGGACAAAGGGAGAGCTCCAGAGAGCTCAGACTGGAAGCAGCCTAAGTTTAATTCTCTTCCTCTAGACTTCCTGGTCATGGGATTTGGCACATGTTTGTGATACTCAAATAAGCTTCTACTGCTTAGGGATATTTATGATATTTTCTTCCTTTAGGGGAACATTATGAACTTTCATATAACACGAACCTCTGGGTTTTTCTGCAGGTCATGGCATTTCCAAGCTGCAGCCATGACTGGGACTACCTCCCTCTGCTTGTACCCACATGAGACAGCATAGCAATTACAGCAGAAGCTTATACTGAAAGCCATGCTAAATAAATGTGAGGACAACTTAACCATGTCTGCTTAAACCCACAAATCAGCAGCCAAAGCAACTGCCATGTTCTTGCTCCCATCTGCAGGTGAGAAGCAGGATTATAACCATGGCCCAAAGAATGTAAACAGTTCAAAAGGAGTGCTGAGACAAAGGCAACAGCATCCAACCCAGTAAAAGTCGGAAACCTGAGTACAGAACTAGTGAGAGCTTCCTCCTCTCAGTTTTTCAAAGCCATTTTTAACAGTCAAGAACCATTTCCTTGTTTGTTGTAATTTATTATTACTACCAAGGTCAGGTAGCCCAACACATAGGTAAAAGTAGTACCCATGCAGCTGTGATCAGCAGCACAGAATTTTTCTCTAGCTGATCACCAGGTTGTTGAAAAGCTAAAATTTAGAGCACAGCTGTATGAACTTACCGACACTTCTCTTTGAGTGGTTAATTCTGCTTTGCTTTTCTTGCTCAGGGAACTGGTCTTTGTTCTTACTTGCCTTTCTGTCATGTTGCCTCTGCATCTCCTCTCCAGAGTATCCCCTCAGCTGGATTTCTCTCCCCTGACTTCTGCTGCAGTTAGAAAATGGGTCTCTACAGACTCAGCCTGTCTTCACAGATCAACAAGGCGTGAAAGGATCTGGCTTCCTGTTTCATTTCCGTTAAAGTTTTCAAAGTCACACAGGCTGTCTATGCTTCTCCATATCCAAGCCACAAGAAAAAAAAATTGAGCATAACTCAGCTATTTCTAAAGGTCACATTGCTACCTCCCTCCGCATCTTCCAAGTTGTTTGCGGGATGGAGATTGCAGGCCGATTTTCGAACTGTGATGTACCATCCATACATGTTTTCTATCTTAGTGGTAGTCCACAGAGAGTCACAGCCTCTTCTTTTCAACTCCAATGTCACATTTGATAGCTAAGCTTTTAACATTACTTTCGTGCAATCAATGTGCTTTCTGTAGGAACAGTCTGACCGCGAAGTGCAAACAGGTGGTCCACACAAGCATCCATTCCATACTAAGATATAGACTGTGCTATGTAAAAGCAAAGTTTACACAGATACAGTTAAATCACTTTCATAGATGCAGGATTTTTAATAGGAATAAGCAAAGGGTCCTTCGAGACATTCTTTCCTTTTCCTTCCTCATTGTTTTAAATTGAGACAAGTGGTTTCTCTATAGTATCAGACCATTAATTGTCTCTTAATTACACTGTTGGAAGATACATCCCAATACCCTAGCTTACAAGTTCACTAGTATCCCATTCTGAAAATACCCACAAGTTCTTGTTTCAGAGGCAGAAGCAGCCATTTGCCCTGCCAGATTCCTCTTCTGTTGACTGTTGCTCCATGTTACACACGGATTTTTTAAAAAAAACAATACAATTACTGATTCACATTTTCCCTCTCACTAGAATGTCGGTTTCCCTTTCTACATCTTTTATTACAGTATTTTTGTTAAATTAGTTTTAAAATGCTAGTTTTCCATTTTTACCCTTGGATCAGGAGCATTTGTTAAAAAAAAATAAATTTGGAAAGGTGGAGTTGGGGAGATAACTGTTACCTATATTATATTATTCCTTCTGTTTGTTGGTAGCTCAGGAACTGAAGGTGAAATCTGCTCTCTCTGCTCCAATCCAAGCCTTGGGCCCCATGACTGCAAGCCTGCAGACACTTCTTATTTCACCATTGACTATGCAGGAAGGAGAGGAACAATAAAGAATGTTCTGCCTTTGAATGCTCTCATGCTCTTCAGGCTCTATGCCAGTAAGCATTCAAAGGCAGCAAGTGAACACTTAAAAACAGTGTTCATATGTTTATATATAAACATGTGCACGTTTATATGTATATAGGCATATATATATGGGCTTTTTTTGTCTCTTTGTGTTCAGTTTCCATTCACAGAACAAGATAGTTCTGAAGGGGGAAAACCTGTGGGCTGGCTACAGGACCAGTGCATCTCTAAGGGGAGATCTGGAAAGAAAATTAGTAGGACAGAAGAAAGAAACACAGGACATGCCCTCTTTTGCTTTCCTTGCTCAGCACTGGTTTTTGTTGTTTTGTTTGTTGTGTTTAAAAAAAAAAAAGGCAAAAAAGCAAATTGTTTAGTTTATACAGTGAAAATTAACTTTCTTTTCTGCATTCAATTCCCTTTGATCACCCTAATTCCTGTATTGTACTTCTTATTAGATTTTTTTAATCTGGTAGGTTCATTTGCCCTGCTCAGAAACAGTTCTGGACATTTAGCACTGCCTACTCTTCCTCTTTTCTTGCAGTTTCCACATGCTTAAACCCATATATCATATTTCCCAACCAAGCATAGCTGATTCACCTGGATAACTCTTTAATATCTCTTTAGGTTTTATCCAAGCAGGAAAAGCATGGATTACTTCCCTTTCCTGCTGTGCTGGGGCACGAGTATTTGCCCAAGATCTGCATTTCTTCCATAGCTCAGTGAGCATCTCTAGGGCATAGTGAAAATGCTGGCACATCTGAAGACTCTTTGTGGCAGGAATCTAGGAACTTGGAGGAGTGTTGGAAAGTGATGCTGTCTTTGCTCCAACAGGATTAGGTGACAGGCAAAAAAAAGCTCCAAAAGGGAGAAGAGAACAAATCAGGGCCTTCTGCACCCCTTCCTTGTCGGAAAGCCTCAGCTGAGCTTTGGAACTGGACTAAGTTACAAAAAATACAGGATAAATTCCCCACATAAACCATGTACCTTTTTTTTTTATATTAGAAACAGCTAAGAGGTCTATTCAAGGTCATGGGGAGATGAAAAAGAGAAACCTAAAATGGAGATGATGAGTTTAGCATGTTGGAGGCAGTGACCACCTGGGCTGACGGAGTCCACAAACTAAGGATAGCCGTGTTTTACTAAGTAGTTAGTGTTTGCATGCCTGCCTATTTGCACTGTTATCACATTCACAAGCTGACAAGGAAATTTTCTTTGTCCACCCCCACACTTCTGCGATGGGTGTTATCAGATGGCCTCTCCTACCCATGGCATTCCCTTGTGGTTCTGTGAGATGTAGCAAATGAGGTCTGCACTTGACTTCATCACAGCTCAATATGCTTGCTTCCATGCTCACCAATGATAGGAAAGGTCTTGGTCTTCAGTGGTTGTTGGGAAACCCAAATGTGACTTGGCACAACATCATCCAGCTATCTGAAAGCTGTAAGCACAAGATGGCCACCTGAGTTTGTCCTGGAGTTGCAGGCAGTTTTATTTCCATTATTGAACTCTAGAGCCAAATTCTTACTTTCTTCATGCTTTCTCCCTTTCTATCAGAAGCAGACTAAGGTTACAAACATCCCCAACCTCCAAAATGCATGCAGTCACATTTTGTTCTGCTCTAACAAGTTGTCCTGCTGTCTCATCTGTTACCTGGAGGGAAAATCACCCTTTTAGGAACAATTATCCTTATCACTGACAACCTTCTGCTGCAGCTGGACAGGTGGGGCCAGGAGAGTTGCTGTCCTATGCAGGTACCCCAGGGGTACCTTTTTCTGATTATTTCTTCTCTTCAGAAGACTAATAAGGGGAACAGTATCAGTGCAATCTACTTTCTGGATTGTGAAAGAATGAAGTGCATTGTTAGTGCAGAATTGTGTCCTAATGCCTGGGTTTAGGCACAGGGGATCAACTTCCTTGGGAAGAGGAATGCCTGTTACAAAAATCTGTGATGGACTTTACTTTTTGACAATTCTTTTTAAAGCAGATACTTCATACTTGGAATAAGAGTCCATACTATTTCTTTAGAAATCAACATGCAGAGGCTCAGAGTTCAGCTGTTTCTCCTTTGTGCTGAAAGATGTTAGTGCCAGAAGAAACAAGACAGTCTATTTGCAGGCATTTGCCTTTTGTGTGTGTGTATGTCAAGTGTCAGTCCCTGGCTTTGCAACAGTGACTAAATATTTATGTTTCACTGCCAAAATTGCAAGCAGCAAACCAAAGCTAGCATTTTAAGACCTAGGTGCTATGAGTGACTCACTGAGAATAAGATGTGATGATGAGAGCACCTCCTTCCCTGGGCTTCTCTTCTGAAGTAGGAGGAGCAAGCTGCTTTCTTGCCACCTCCACCAAGAACCACAGCAGCGATCAGCAATGGCTTGTTTTGTACTGAAACAGCAAAACAGGGTCACTAAGGGGAAGAAAGGAGCTCATTCTTTTCAGAGAAAGTAGTCATTTGAACCCAAAACATGGAATGCCATCAGTGAAAAGAACAAATTTTCTTAAGAGGGAAACTTAGTAACAAGCAGGAAAATGAAATACAAATAAAATCCCAGGCTACTAAAGGAAAGTAGTAGCCTGTACACTGAGGAACAAAAGTGCTGATGGAAAAGTCATGGAGAGACAAGGGCTTGAGCATGCACATGCCCCCTTTCATAATGCAGCTTATTGATCTAGATCTCCTTTAGATTAACAGAAACAGCAACAGATGTTCCTTTCTGAAAGACACTTTGTGTGGCTGATGGCTTATGCTGAATTGCAGCGATAAACATCCTGGTTCTATTTGCCATTTTCTTTCTCACATCTTCTTACAGAATTACCATCAATGCTTACAGCTGAAATTAATATATGTGCTTCTTCATTTAGCAGGTATAAACAACCTGCTGCAAAGCTAATATACGCTATACTTCACTGTATATTTCACAACACAGAAGGAAGGATGACATGGCTATCTTTTAATTAGGATACGGGAGAAGAATTCAGAGCATGGACATCTATTTTTTGCAGCTGCCAAAACTTTATGCTATCTTCAACAAATCCTTTTACCACCTGTTAAAAAGGGGGGAGGGAACTAAGAAGCTTTCTCCATCTCTAAAGTGAAGCTTGATGATTAAAACTGAGATGTGCTGAAAATACCATGGTGATGGAGACTCTTCAGCTGAATATACAGCCCCCGCTGAGATGATAAGCAGCACTCATCTCCCTTTGCAGTTAGTGCCAACAAAGACAGAATTCTACTTGCAGGGGATGTCAGTACCTTCCTCACAAAGGATTCAATGATTTCTCTTTCTGCAATTTTTTTATGATCTTAGCCCTTTTGACATTTTGCTATTTAGACTGCAGGTATTAGGATTTCTATTTTTCTGGCAAATAAATGACATACATGTTCTTTAAAAAAAAATCCCCTCTGTTGAAAATGTAAAAATGAAATTTCCTATCTGTTCCCTTTTGGCTTCTTCTCAAATATATATATGTACATGCAAATTTCCCTGGACCCACCTTCCACCACAGAAATATTGTCTCAGTGAAATCTGGCTTTAGATGTCTACAGGACTTCTATACAGGAGAACTCTCTCTATAGGAGACCCCAAGCCCCTGCAGGAATGGTTCCCTCAGCGTGTCAGGCATGCAGAGATCCCAGGTGCCCACCCATGGGTATGCACAAAGCAGACAGTGCAGCACAGTCCAGAAGGTCTTATCCATCCTCAGCAGGTTGGACTCCAAGCTTCTTGCATTCATTTTACACAAGGAAGGTGTGTATTTTGAATAGTACTAGAAGAACAAAGCAGAAGTCTTTCTTCTAACTTTAGGAGAACTGTGCCTTGGATTCTGCCTTT